GGAAGGATCGCCGGAGCCCAGCAGGTCGAGGCTGCGGTGGCCGGGAGTGGCCACTGTGCTCCAGTCTGGGCGACAGAGTGAGACTCCAACTCAAAAAAAATAAAAAATAAAAAGAGCATGCTATTGTCCACATAATATAACACACACACACACACACACACACACACACACACACACACACACCACACACGCAATTATATCCCTCAATAAACTGGGCTCTGGTCTCTCTATGAGTCTGGGAGATGTAAGATGGACAGGTCCCATCTAACTAGAACACAGAAAACATACTCAGGGATGTCAGGGTTTTCTAAGAAAATAAAAAGTCTTCCAATCTTCCAAAAGCATCTTCCCAAGAAGTTAGTCACAAATATTCACACATCCCAGGATACCGATTTCGCTCTGGCCCCATCTGAGTTTTACCTGTCAGTTGGTCAAGCTGCAGGGCCCAGACTGCTCTGCTCCATGCATCTCAGGGACTTGGAATGTCATTCACGGTTTTTAAAGCACAGACGCCCTATAAGGAAGAGGCACACGCTCACCTGAACAGGATGAATCCTGGTCTTGGTGCTTCCTATGCCTTCTACAGTGGTGACGGCAGTACCGTGCAGAGAGCAGAGGGGGGTCAGACAGGCGTTGGCGGGCTGATGTCTTCAGGATGGATACAAGAGAGAAGTGCAAATTACAAATTCCATTATATCCTGAGTGTCTCCACTATGGCGGATTTTCTGTGATGTCCCCAGTCTGCACACGGACACTTTGTCCTTAGCTCACACCATTTGACAGAAGTAAAGTCTGAGGATCAGAGTTGATTTACTCAGGGTCATAGATGGAGTATCAGAGGTAGGATTAAAATTAGATCTCCTCATTCTAATTCCAGAACAGTTTCCACGGACTTTAATCATTTTTCCTCTCAAATGAGGGACTGACCCTCTCTGGTTACATGTCACAGTCACCTGCCTAGAGCTATGTCATCTTCCAGGCAGACACTGGACCAGGGGTTGGATGGGCAATAAAATGAATGTGTGCTTCAGAAGAAGAAATAGAGTGTGGGATTCAGAACTCCTCAATTCCACAAAACCATGCTAGAAAATGTCCAACTCAAAATGACTCCTAAAATGTTCTCATTCACAAGCAACTACAAATGGCCAATAAACATGTCATCAAATGTTCAACCTCAAAAATCAAGAGAGATTCAACTCAAGCAATGAGAAATTCTATTTTTATCAAAAAAAGGTAAATATTTTAAAAATTATATCATCTACTAGTAGCAAAGGTTTAGGAAAGTGGGATTCACTCTGTCTATAAGAATGGAAATTGAGTTCTCCCTGAACTGGACTGGAAGACATTTCAATTGGAAGTCATAAACACCTTTAAAACACACACTCTCAGCCGGGCTTGGTGGCTCAGCCTGTAATCCTGTGCACTTTGGGAGGCTGAGGTGAGTGGATTGCCTGAGCCCACAGGTTCGAGACCTGCCTGGGCAACTTGGCGAGACCTCATCTCTACAATAAATAAAAAAATTAGCCGGGTGTGGTAGCACACGCCTGTAGTTCCAGCTACTTGGAAGGCTGAGGTGGAAGGATTGCCAGAGATCAGCAGGTCGAGGCTTCAGTGGCCGGAAGTGGCCACTGCACTCCAGTCTGGGCAACAGAGTGAGACTCCGACTCAAAAAATAAATAAATAAATAAATAAATAAATAAAATGCACATTCTCTTTTGCTCTGCAATTCCCCTTCTTTGGATGTATCATAAAGAAATAGTCACAGACATAAACATAAATATATATATGAATATTTGTTTTTTATTTATTTTTGAGTTGGAGTCTCACTCTGTCACCCAGACTGGGGTGCAGTGGCCGCTCCCAGCCACCGTAGCCTCGACCTGCTGGGCTCTGGTGATCCTTCCGCGTCAGCGTTCCGAGTAGCCGGAGTTACAGGCATGCACTACCACGCCCGGCTGATTTTTTGATTTATTGTAAAGATGAGGTCTCGCTGCCCAGGCGGGTCTTGAACCCGCGGGATGAATGTTTATTGATGCATTGCTCATAATAATGAAAACTAAAAATACTCTAATAGTGAATACTATTTGGGGATTGGTTTTGGTACACCCAAATAATGGAACATATACAGCCATTAAAATTATATTTATTACTTTGGAAATATATTAATGAGAAATTAACAAAATATACAGGTTTTTAAACAGTATGTGCAGTATACCTCCTTATATACACACAAAAGAAAGACTGGAAATATATTATTTATTTATAAATAAATGTAAATATTTATTAAGTGCCTACTATGTGCCAGGCAGAGTTCTAGGTGCTAAGATTCATTGGTGAGCAAGACAGATAAAAGTCCTGACTTTATGGCATGTATATCCTCAATGAGGGAAGATAAAATCTATGTATACAGGCAATACACATGTACATACATGTATAAACTGAAATGGTGAGAAGTGCTGTAAATTAATATAAGCTAACGGAGAGTTGTAAAAGTGGAGTGGGGCACAACTATTTAGTAGGTGATCATGAAGGGTTGAGAATATAATGTTTTTGCTAAAACCTGAATACTGAATACTTTGAAGGAGGCTGACATAAAAGTCAGAGGGACAACACGCAAATTCAGGCCCTGGGGCAGGAATGAGTTTGGGATGTTTAAGAACAGAGAAACAAAAGGAAGCCCAGTGATACAGAGACATAGTGAATGTGAGGGGAGAGGTGTTAGTCAAGGTTAAAGAGATAGGCAGGGGCCAGGTAGATAAGGGTAAGACTTTATAGTAAAAGTAAGGAATTGAATATTGATTCAAAGGCAAGTGCACTTTCAGTTCAGATGTAAAAAGTTGTAAGAGATTGTCACACTCATTCTAAAAACCAAAACAAGCCATATACACCACATAATTTTATATATATATATATTTTAAAAATTCAAACTGATGCTGAGTATCTAAAGAAACTTTATGAGTCAAGCTTTAGGAATAAATGGCTAGACTCCGTTAAGTGACACGCCCTTTGTAGGAGAGAAGACACAGCTTTTCTTATCCCTGAGATACAGATGTTCTCTTTTTGAAATGGAAGGAAGAGGAACATGTCTCAGATAGAAATAAGGAGAAACTAGACCAACTCTCAACAAACTTTTAATGGTTGCATGTGGGCTGAGACAACTGGTTAAAATACAAAGCTGGGCTGCTTTTAAGCAAAGGAGATTGGAGGACAAACAGGAGAAGTAAGAGAAAACTCTAGGCACTCAGACTTTATAAAGTATAGAGTAGTTGCCACCCTGTAGAGGCTAAAGACAGAGCAGCATGGCTGTGAGAGATCTCTCAAAGCACAGAAGGTGAGACAGGAGAGCAAAGAAAACTCCCCAGTGGGTCGGGCTCAGTGGCTCAGCCGTAATCCCAGCACTTTGGGAGGCTGTGGTGAGTGGATTGCCTGAGCCTGCCGATTTGAGGCCAGCCTAGGCAACTTGGCAAGACCTCATCTCTACAATAAATCAAAAAGTAGCTGGTTGTGGTAGCACATGCCTGTATTTCCAACTACTTGGAAGGCTGAGGCGAAAGGATCACCTGAGCTGGAATAGCTGTGAGCATGCCACTGCACGCCAACCTGGGCAACAGAGTGAGACTCCAACTCAAAAAAAGAAAAAAAGAGAGAGAGAAAGAAAGAGAGAGAGAGAGAGAAAGAAAGACAGACAGACAGACAGACAGAAATAAAGAAAGAAAGAAAGAAAGAAAGAAAGAAAGAAAGAAAGAAAGAAAGAAAGAAAGAAAGAAAGAAAGAAAGAAAGAAAGAAAACTCAGTGACCTCAAAAGCTGGCTGCCAGACTGTAAGGTTAGGAGGGATTTCTCACAGTTCAAAAAGCAGATGATTTGACTGTGAAACACAGGCAGATATCTGAAACTTCACCAGTGCTCAGAGCCTTAGCCCTCCACTGAGATCTGTGAAATAATGTATAGTGGTCTAACATATGCACAACTAGAGTCCCAGAAGGCTAAGGGAGAGAAAAAGTATGTGGCACAGAATAAATTCTTGAAGAGATAATGCCTTGAGAAATTTCCAAAAATGATAGAAGACATTAATCCACAGATCCAAGAAATCTGGCAAACCCAAAGAAGGATAAATACTAAACATAAAGGGTGGTTTTTAAGTAGGAGAGAATGGTTTGATTGGATTTATACTTGAAACATATCCCTGACTGAAGTATGGAGAGTGCACTTGATGGGAGCAAGGAGATAAGTTAGGAAGCTATAGGGATAATATAGGAGTATGATGATGACATTATCCTCCACTACAATTTCAGCCCTGCTTTTCCTCTCCAGACAGCACAGGGTGTCAGGGAGCCTTTCAACTTTTTTCAGGGAATTCTTTGGCCATGTGTTATCCTCGTTGATGGTACATTTTTTCCCAACCCATTCACATTACTGGGATCATGTCTGTCTTGTTCATCGATGTACCCACAGTCCCCAGTACCATTCACATAGTGGGTACACAGTACATATTTACCAAGTAAAAAAGTTAAAAAGTTCAAAACTATAAAAATTCAACCAGATCTGGACTTTGCCATAATGTACCTTATCCTCTTGGTGATGGGGTTATATCGTGAGATCATCACTGTACAGGCACCACAGCCTCCTCCTCCACAGCCATACTTGGTCCCTGTGAGTCCAACTGGAAGAAGCTTAGTTAAAGATCATGTTTTCTGTAATTCTCTTTCTAGTATAGCCCTGATCTTAGGAGAAAGCACCATCACAGACTTTAAAATGTATAGTTAATATATATATCAAATGATATATGTGTGTCTTCACTGATATTATAATATAGTAGCTACAGAATATAATCTTGTAAATTCTTCATTTCCCTTTGTGTGAACAACTGGACCTTGGTTGCCAAAAATGAGATCAAACTAAAAAAGAAAGAGTCTACAAATGCTAGGGATGAAAGATTGCAAGGTATGAATATATTACACATTTGTTCTCGATCTTACTGGTGTCTCTGATGACACACAAAGTAAAATGTTAAATTGCAAATAATTCTTGGAATATTTGTGTCATGTTAGCCATGTTTGTCATATTTATCTGCCTTTCAGTGGCTGAAACTGCAAGCAATTCCCCAATATCTGTTCTCTAGTTATTCCTTAATAATAGAAATCCCAATTTTCAGTCACATATGACTGCCCAGAATAAAGAATATATTTTTCCAGGTTTCTCTGCAGTTGGGGGTGGGGATCATTAACAATGCTGGTTAACAGAATGTATGTATAAGTGTTGTATATGACTTCCAAGAGGGGAGTGTCCTCAAAGAAGAGAGGTAGTTTGTCAACTACTTCTTCCTCTTTGCTGGAGTTCAGATACAATGGCTGAAGTTCTATTAATCATCTCTGTGAGGAGAAAGTTGCACACTGAAGAGGTTGGAGCTTGGTTCCCTGACAATATTGTGACACTGTTTGCTAGCCCAGATCCACCCCCATGTGGGCTTCTTCTGTGTGAATATGACAGCCTTAGGAACACACCCCACAGATCTCCTTCAACATGTAGGGTAGTGACCAAGGGACCAAGCTGCTGCACTTTGAAATCAATCACCCCAGTTTTCATTAAGGTCATGCCTCCCATCAGCCACTCCCCACCAAGGGCTGAGTGTGAGACATGGAGTTCTTGGCAACAATCCTCAAAGGCTCTGAACAACATGCCTTGGACTGACCAGCAGTCTAGGATGCTTCTAACTCGACCTTCTCTCCCTCTCTTCTTTTCCAGGGTCAGAATTGTGGTCTAATAGCTCCCTAAGCCTTCTCTGACTCCTTCCCTATTTCCTTTCACATAACCATTTCTCCTCATAAATCTCTTGCATATTTAATCCCATTTTTGGTGTCTGCTTCCTGGAGAGTCTGAACTAATATAATGAGAAAGAAATAAACTTCCATCTTCCATCTTGTTCATTACTTTTTGGGGTTTTCTATCACTCATAATGAATCAAACTTTAAATCTTACACATAGGCACTGTGAATAACCAGAAAGTCAGTGTTTATTGTTTTTAAGTCCAAAGATCTTGAATGACTTTTACGAGTATGTTTCAGGAACATGCTCATGTGTCTGAAAAGTAATGATTGATGCTTTAGAGTTGCGTACTATTTTGGGAATTTCACTCTCCCAGGGAAAAAAAATGTGCACACTCCCACTGTCACATAATTTTGCATAGAATTTTGTGGAGTCTACTGAAGTCTGGAAGCCCACTGAAATTCATGCCGAGCAGTCTAAAAATCCATATCTTGGATGGCTTTTATTTGGAAGGTTTTTCTAGAGTAACATCTCCAGGTTTAATGTCTCCATTTTTCTTTACTTTCATTTCAGGTGATTTCTGTGCTCTTTTTTTCTAATGGTCATGATTATTAGTCCTTGAAGACAGAAAGTAAATATTGTGACTCTTAATTATAAAGGAAGCTTAATTGTGCCCTTTTAACAGCCATTGTTTTTGTTTCCATTGCTAATTTCTTCATTTTATACATTTTATAAAGAACTTGGTTTTTCTGATAGCCACAATTGTGCACTGCCTATAAAACTAAAATGCAGGACTTCTCAAAGATAAACATAAAACTACAGTAGTGTGAAATGTGTCTCAGTGTGACTGAAAGAGTGAAAATATCATTTGATGAGGACACTGGAACTACATACACATACACCACACATACACACTTGAAGCAAAGAAAAGGATACGCTTCTTCCTCAGATATGGTAAGAGCATTGTTTCAGGATTGACATCTTTTTCTACCACCTATATCAGAGAAAAAACAAGTTATGCACACAAAGTTGACAGAGCTAGTGTGAAATGCAGACTGGTAGTATCATGCAAATTTGAGAGAAAGGCACATTAACTATCCTTCTACTCTACTTTCAAGTTGACTTCAGCTTCACAGAACACCTGTGACATAGCTCTATCACAATTGTGCCACTGTCCTTGGTCCTGAGCCATCATTGTTCTCTAGGGCTGTGGTTGTGTCTGCTAACAGAACACTAGTGACTCCTCTCCAGGTTTTTCTAGAGTCTGAAGCAGGTGAGGGAAAAGACAAGGGTAGGACAGAATTAAAGAAGAGAGAAGAGGCAGAGAAGAAATGGGAGACAAAGAGGGAGGAAGGGAGGGAGGGAAGAAAGAAGGAAGGGAAGGAGGAAAGGAAGGAGAGAGGGACGGAGATAGAGAGAGTAAGGGAGGGAGGGAGGGAGAGAAAAAGGGAGATGGTGAGAGAGAGAAGGAGAGAGGAAAACAGATAGGAAGAGGTAGAAGTAGAGGTAGAGAAAAAGGGAGAGGGTGAGGGAGACAGAAGGAGAGGGAGACAGGGAGGAAGACAGAGAGAAGGAGGGAGGAAGAGAGGGAAGGTGAGGGAGAGGGAGAGAGAGGGAGGGAGAAAGAGGGAGTGAGAGGAAGAGAGGAAGGGAAGAAGGGAAGGAGAAGGATAGGAAGAAGGGGGGAGAGAGAAGCTACTGATAGAATAGACTCTGAGAAATTGATAGTTAATTTTTAAAAATACATGTTTGTTTATCATATTTAAATAATTACAGTTTCCAGAAAGAGACTATGGCCAACCATGGCCCCTGCTCAAAGAAACACAAGAGAAGATAAGATGTGTGTGCCCAGTACTGCAAAGCTGTGCCACAGGGTCATGTACAGGCATGTTCACGTGGGCAGCCCGCACAGCTCCCAAGGCAGCATCACAGAAATGTCATGGCTGGTTATGTTGGTTATGTTTCCCAAAGTGATCGTGTTTTCTCTTTCTTGATAAACAAATTTGGGGATTTTTTTTCAATTCAAAGAACACATAAAAGAATGATTCGCTTCACAATTTCAGAAGTCAAATTTGTCTTTCTCCATATTACATTAATTTTTCCTTCTGGAGAGTAGGTGAGGAGGGGATGTATGCTAATTCCAGGACTGTCTCCTCACCCTCAACTCTAAGCAGCTGTATGTCAGACAAGGTGAGGCATGTGCCAATTGCCAAGGTCAGAGCTGTGCCCTAGAGCAGGGTTCCCAACCCCTGGACTGCCGACTGGTACTGGTCCAAGTCCTGTTAGGAATGGGGCTGCACAGTAGCAGGTGAGTGGTAGAGGAGCAGAACTCTGCTTTCTGTCAGATCAGTGGTAGCATTAGATTCTCACAGGACTGTGAACCCTATGGTGAACTGCACATGTGAGGGATTTAGGTTGTGTGTTCCCTGTGAGAATCTAATGCCTGAAGTTCCCCACATTCACATACACAACCCATCCATGGAAAAATTGTCTTCTACTAAATCGGTCCCTAATGTCAAAAAGATTGGGGACTGCTGCCCTAGAGAAGTCCACAACATAGAAGGAGAGATGTGAGTAATTGTGTGTGTGTGTGTGTGTGTGTGTGTGTGTGCGCATGCTTGTACACATACTTTAATGCAAGAAAAAGTGTGAACATTGTCAACTTAATTGGCCTTCAAATATAATACTTTTCTTCCCAAATTTATGCCATCTCTTCTCTTCCCTAACCTGTTCACCAGTCTTACTCTACTGGGTCATCCAAGCTTAGCAACCTGAGCTATTTGCAACTTGTTCTTTCTTTCAATCCACCACAATCGGTGTCACCAAGTTTTCCCACTTGGGCTTTCAGAATGATTCCCTAAACACCCTCCTCTTCTACCAGCATTTCCTGGAGTGAACCTGGATCATCTCTTGCCTGAACGATGATAGCAGCCTCCTCACAGGTCTCCCTGTCTTCCCTTTTGGCAACGGCAATACCACCATCTACACCACGACCAGAGTGGCTGCCCTGCGACCCACATCTGATCATCTCATGGATCTGCCTACACTTATGGCTCCTGGCTGCCAGCTCCATGCTGGGCATTCCTGAATGCCTGTCAAAATTAAACCTCTATGGAGTCAGGATTTCTGGGGGAGGGAGCCAGAAAGTGTGCATCTAAGACTGAGTGAGTCTTAGGCGAATGGATACCCAAGTGTTCCTGGAGTACAAGGAGAAATTTGAACTTCCTGGGGAGGACTCCTTCATAAACTGCTCCATCATCTCCTGCCACTTGACCCAAGTGTCTTGAATTCAGGACCTGAAGACGAGCTGGTCAAGCCTAGTGGACCATCATCTGTACTTTCTTTGCATCCAGGACTCTTTGCCCGGAAAGCCATTCCTCTCTTCTTGATATGGCAGAATTTTGTGTATCATTCACTACCTACTCAGATGTCCTCTGTGGGGGGTGATGCTACCCCATACTCCGCACTACTTCCCACTCCAAGGAACAATCCTCCTGTGTCCACATGGTCAGTGTCCTCACCTTTTTTTTTTTAAAGTCAGGGTCTCACTCTGTTGCCCAGGCTGGAGTGCAGTGGCACAATCATGGCTCACTACAGCCTTGCCCTCTTAGGCTCAGATGATCCTCCCTCCTCAGCTTCCCAGTAGCTGGAACTACAGGTGTGTGCCTCCATACCCAGCTATTTTTTTTTGTAGAGATGAGGTTTTGCCATATTGGTCTCAAACTCCTGGGCTCAAGCAATCCTCCCACTTCGGCCTCCCAAACTTCTGGGATTATAGGTATAAGCCACCATACCCTGTGCTCACCTCTTCTTTTATAGTATTTTTTTACCCTGTATTATAATTATTTGTGTATGTGTAAGTCCATCTTGATCCTGAGAGAGGCATCTTCTGTTATCATCTGGGTCAAACACTGAACTTGGTGCGGGGGACATATCATAGAGATGGCATAAATGTTAACTAATTAAATGAATGACTTAGGCTGGGCACAGTGGCTCAGCCTGTAATCCCAGAACTTTGGGAGGCCGAGGCAAGAGAATTGTCTGAGCCCGGCAGTTTGAGATCAGCCTGGGCAACGTGGTGAGACCTCATCTCTACAATAAATCAGAAAAATTAGCTGGGTCTGTAGTTCCAGTTACTTGGAAGGCTGAGGCAGAAGGATTGCCTAAACCCAGCAGTTGAGGCTCCAGTGGCCGTGAATGTGCCATTGCACTCTGGGTGACAGAGTGAGACTCCAAAAAAAAAAAAAAAAGAATGACTTGAACATTATAGGTATAATTTGCTATGAGAAAACCAAGAAAAAAGGAATAATTTCTTACAGAGTATGGCAACTGAACAGAAGAAAAGAGGGAAAAACAGAAGTGGCCGGGTGTCGTGGCTCACACCTGTAATCCCAGCACTTTGGGAAGCCAGGGCAGGAGGATCACTTGAGGCCAGGAGTTCAAGACCAGCCTGGGCAAACAGACTCATTGGTGAAACCTCTGTCTCTACAAAAAAGAAAAAATTAGCCAGGCATGTTGATGCACACCTGTAGTTCCAGCTACTTGGGAAGCTGAGGTGGGAGGATCACTTGAGCCCAGCGGATGGATGCTGCAGTGAGCACCACTGTGCTCCAGCTTGGGTGACAGAGCGAGACCCTATCTCCAAAGAAAAAGAAACACAGCAAAGTTATTGTTGTCTATCTTGGCATGTACTCCCGCTTGGGACAGGAATGAAAGGAGGCAACATGTTCGTGGCAGCAGAACAAAAAGAGAGAAGACACCTGGGACCCACAGAACACCAGAAAGCTTCTGGACCAGCCTCACAATGTCTATCCACAGGTGCAACGGTGACCCACAGAAGCCCGGTTTTAATGAAGGGACAGGGTCTGGGTGGCACAGACAGTCGAGAACAGCATTTTAGGCTTGAGGAATATTGATAGACTTGGGGAAGGAATTCATGGAAGGAACAGGCTGTGCTTGTTTGGGTATCTGTCCCAAGAAGTGGTCTGAGAGCTTGAAATCTGGCTCGAAGCGCCACTGGCTTGAAATGTGTTTCTTTTTCTTGATCTGACGGATATCATGTTTGGGGGAAGATGGTGGGAGCAGGGATCTAGCAGGCACCCTGTCCAGCAACTCTGGGAGTGACCCAGGGAAGGCGGGACTTGGATGTCGCTGGGAGGTTGGAGGGGTGGGGTCTGGGGAACAGAGCTATCTCCTTGATTTTGGGTTGGAGAGATAATGCCAGTCCCCAGGTCAGTGCTGTTGTGTGTGCTCATCTCAGCGTGGCCCTGGGTGTTGCAATGGTTGAATCTGTCCCTCTAGGTCTCTGCCAGCCCTCTAGGGAGGGTTCAAGTTTACATTGCATAAGGTTAAGAAATCACTTTTGGCCAGGGCCTGTGACTCACACCTGTAATTGCAGCACTTTGGGAGGCCGGGGAGGGAGGATTGCTTGGGCCCAGGAGTTTGAGATGAGCCTGGGCAACAGCGAGACCCCGTCTCGACAAACAAACAAACAAACAAACAAAAAACTAGCCAGGCATGGTGGCACATGCCTGTAGTCCCAGTTACTCAGATGGCTGAGGCAGAAGGATCGCCTGAACCCAAGGGGTCAAGGCTGCGGTGAGCCATGCTTGTGTCACTGCACTCCAGCCTGGGCAACAGAGTGAGACCCCAGCTGAAAAAAGAAAAGAAACCATTTTCCTCTGGGCCAGGTGGTGACTTGTGCCTGGGGTTCCCTGCCAGATCCAAGGCAGAGGCAGAAAGAAAAAAGAGAAAGGAAAGGGGATGGGGACAGAAGAACACATAGAAGGACAAGGCTGGGAGGTGCAACAGGAGGGGGAAGGGGCGTGTTTTGTGGGACATGGTCAGGAGGGAACAGCAATAGCCTCAGCAGCTTCAGAGCAGAGAAGGAGGCCTGAGGGGACAGCCGTGAGTACACTTCTGCCTGGCCTTGGGTCCCTTTACAATTCCTTTTGCTCATTGGTTCTCTCTGCCTGAGCGGCCTCCACCCC